TTTGGACCAGACAATCCGGTGGATGATAATGTGAGCAACGACACACGCATTGAGGGTACGAGGACGCACCATGAACCAAATCACCGAGCCTGACCACCGATCCATTAAGTCGAATCTCACGACTAGCATAGGTTGCTGGGGACCAACTGAAACCCGGAAATCCCACTCGAAGGGTGTCAGTGGGCATGTTATTTTATCACCGTATTATATGCTTCCATGACACATGTATACTCACATATATACTCCCCCGTGGTCTAGAGGTAGAGCGTCCGCCCGGAGAGCGGAAGATCCGGGGTTCGATCTCCGGCCGCGTCATACCAAAAGACGTTAAAAGATGGTACTTGTTGTTACCCTATCTGGCGCTCGGCATTAAGGGGCTAAAACAAGGACTGGTCGGCTTGGAGTCAGTTTATTGTGTCTGAGTGGGGTATTCATGTGAACTGCGGCATGGTTTCTCAGTGGGCTAGCACTATAAATCGGCATCAGTCACACACACACACACACACACACACACACACACACACACACACACGTCGCTATATAAATGCAAGAATCTTGGACGCGACGTTAAACCCAATTTCACCTCACCTCACATATATACTCACCGCCAAAAGAAACGCGATCGTTTACGTTATGAAGTGATGTTTCCAATGTGTACCACGTTATGACAAAATTAACAATCCGTCAAGTATTACTACCGTGTCTTTATTCTTATCACGAGGCGGTCCGTGAAGATCCGGGGTAGAATAGGCCTTCAGCAACCCATGCTTGGCATAAAAAGCGACTATGCTTGTCGTATGAGGCGAGTGACGGGATCGGGTGGTCAGGATCGTTGACTTGGTTGATCCCAATTGCGTGGACCGATGGTCATGTTGTCAATCATTGGGTTGTCTGGTCCAGACACGATTATTTACAGACCGCCGTCATATAGCTGGAATATTGCTTAGTGCGGCGTTAAACTACAAACAAACAACCAAATTATCACGGTGCGGTGGGGTAACATAGTGGTTAAAGCGTTCGCTCGTCACGCCGAAGACCAGGGCTCGATTCCCGACATGAGTACAATGTATGAAGCCCCTTTTCCGGTGCCCCCCGCTGTGATATTGCTGGAATATTGCTAAAAGCGGCGTAAAACCATACTCACTCACTTATTCTTATCACGATATGCTGAACGTGATTTCCAAACTTTACACGCTAATCCTGCACGTGCATCTCGAGTCATGGATGTATGACGTCACATGTGATGCGTTCATGAGCGTCGGTTCACACAACATAACAGTATGTTCGTTTGTGCGTCGAACCAATCTAATATCTCTTGAATATGAGTAATTCTTTATATATTAACCAACATGTATGGTATTCGCGGTCGGTGAGAATATATGTGTCAGACATTTACAGTGTCATTTCACTTGGAAACTCATTAACGATGGCGGCTAGCTAAGTGGGCGTAAATACCTTCAAAAACGTGTGAGTGAGTGAAAGCTGAATTTAGCTTTTTCGCAACCGGTAAATGAAGGCTATCCATCTATCAGTTCATGAGTACACACATGAGACAATGTTGCAGTTTAGCACAAGTCCGTTATGCAATATCTAATAATTTATACTGGTTATGGTCACCGTGGATCAAAGTGAGTTTGGCCCGTGAAGATCCGGGGTAGAATAGGTCTTCAGCAACCAAATCTTGCCGTAAAAGGCGACTATGCTTGTCGTAAGAGGCGACTAACGGGATCGGTGGTCAGGCTCGCTGACTTGGTTGATGCAGGTCATCGATGCCAATTGCGTGGATCGATGCTCATGATGTCAATCACTGGATTGTCTGGTCCAGACTCGATTATTTACAGACTGTCGTCATAAAGCTGGAATGTTGCTGAGTTCGGCGTTAAACAACAAACAAACAGACAAACAGTGAGTTGGCTTTACGCGGGCTTTTAGCAATTTTCCCACAATATCCCGTCGGTGGATGAGGTTAGAATATTGGCGCTCAATAAATTTGACTATAATAGATGTTGAATGGTCCTTTGCGTACCTCTTCCATATATTTCTATACTTCATATAGAAGTTTATATCGGCATTATTTTATTAAATGGCTTGCTTCAGTGCCCGTGAGTGATGGTGTGTCTGGGATCCCTGAAACAGATTGTCGGATTCCAATGTGCGACTTTCTATATGGTTTAACTAATGTTCGTCGTCTCTGATGTGTATCCGGCGGCAAGGGCACGAGCTCACCTAGCCTTGCTCCAAGGCTGTACTAAAAGAAAAATCCATGGATGTACAGTAATTCTAGCAAGTCTAGATATGTGGTCAATACAGCCCAGCGAGGCGGAAGCTCTGAAAAATCTAGACCTGCACCATTTAGGGAACGAAAATATTATGGTCAGGGAACTGTTAGACAGACTAACTATACATGGGCCCACATAGCCTTGCTCCAAGGCTTTATTGAATGATAAGTCCATGGATGTGTAGTTTTTCTATCCTTATAATAGGCAAGTCTAGATAAGCGGACAGTACCTTTAAGGACTCCAGTATATTACTTTTTCTTATTATTTACATAATCTAGAAATAATGATTTCAACTAATAGTTATTTCCTTAGAGACTTGTGCAAGTCTAGAGCTCACCCCGCCGTGACCCGCCTACAGGGAACACACGCCGACATATCAGCCGCCGGTGTATATACCTATATATCACTCCTGCAATTAGCGGTGGCCGAACTTGACCCGTGGATGAACTTGCTGCAATGGGTTTTGTAGTAGATACACAAATTTAAAGGTGTTAATGTGATGTATAAGTTAAATAATAGCTTCATTGTTTAAAATGTCAACGACTAAGAAAGACGTGATTTTAAGTTGAAATCGGGGCATGAAATCATGCATATTGTGTCATCGATTGCCCGTTCAACGTTTCCACCAGAGACCACATGGTCAACTTCCACACAACGTGTGGGGTGTGGGGTGGTGGGGTGTGGTGTGGTAGGTTTTGGGGAGGGGTACATGGCTTCACAAGGCTGTCATGAACCGGACTCACGCGACTGTAGGGTTCGAACTCCCAGTTACCATGGTTAAAACTGCAGAATGTTTTGTTAACCAATCGAGAAACACACTACGATGTATTATTGCACGATACATACCTCTCTGGCCCTCTGTGCTTGAATGTAACCTTACACATGGACATAGTCATACACCGACATTTTTAGGCTGACATACACTGACAACGTTAGTCTGTCATACACTGACTGAGTTAGTCTGTCATACACTGACTGAGTCTGTCATACACTGACTGAGTCTGTCATACACTGACCAAGTTAGTCTGTCATACACTGACTGAGTTAGTCTGTCATACTCCGACCGAGTTAGTCTGTCATACATTGCCTGAGTTAGTTTGTCATACACTGACTGAGTCTGTCATACACTGACCAGGTTAGTCTGTCATACACTGACCAGGTTAGTCTGTCATACACTGACTGAGTTAGTCTGTCATACACTGACTGAGTCTGTCATACACTGACTGAGTCTGTCATACACTCACCGAGTTAGTCTGTCATACACTGACTGAGTTAGTCTGTCATACTACGACCGAGTTAGTCTGTCATTCAGGCAAGACTCATGCATCTTCCCTGCTTCCTGACCTTCACCTTGGTGTCAGCCATTCTGACACAGCCAGAGTGAAACAATCAAACCTCACATGGCCGCACTTCCGTTTTTAGGGTAATTGCATATTTCAAATTCTTGTGACCATTTCATTTTCAATTGTGATGCTTTTAACACTGCCACTGAATAACATTCATCCCCACAGTCGGTGTTTCATGAAGTTTCATGCCTCAATCCACCCCTCCACCTCCCCCTCCCTCACCCCAAGGATGTGTTCAGTAAACAGCATCAGCTTCTCATCTGTAAACTGATAATTGTCTGGAATAGATTTTATGGTCTCTGGTGTAGGTTCTAACACTGTGCAAGTGATGCATATAGTATATGGTTGACAAGCACATATACAGGTTTGTTTGTTTGTTGTCTAACGCTGCACTCAGCAATATTCCAGCTATATGATGGCGGTCTATAAATAATCGAGTCTGGACCAGACAATCGAGTGATTGATATAATGAGCATCGATCCACGCAATTGGGATACAATGACATGCATCAACCAAGTCAGCAAGCCTGAGCACCCGATCCTGTATGTCGCCTCTTTCGATAAGCTGCCTTTTACGGCAGGTGTGGGTTACTGAAGACCTATTCTACCCCGGATCTTCACGGGTCGATATATACAGGTATGAGGCAGTGTTCACACAGTTGAGTAGATTGGGATGTAAGTGTAGTTACAATAGAGTGGAGAAGTCTGTCATGTACACTAGATGGGTGATATATGGTTGATAAGGGTGTTAGAACCTACACCGAAATGTCATTCCTAATGGTAATAAAGTTGTTCATCCATATATCTTATCTTTACTTAGGTCTCCAACATCTAAATGCCTCTCAAAGAAGTTATCATGACCTCGTACACATTGCCACCAAATGTTGTCATTGGTTGTGTAACATTAAACAGAGTCTCCCCATCAAATGTTGTCATTGGTTGTGTAACATTAAACAGAGTCTCCCCATCAAATGTTGTCATTGGTTGTGTAACATTAAACAGAGTCTCCCCACCAAATGTAGTCATTGGTTGTGTAACATTAAACAGAGTCTCCCCATCAAATGTTGTCATTGGTTGTGTAACATTAAACAGAGTCTCCCCATCAAATGTTGTCATTGGTTGTGTAACATTAAACAGAGTCTCCCCATCAAATGTTGTCATTGGTTGTGTACCATTAAACAGAGTCTCCCCACCAAATGTTGTCATTGGTTGTGTAACATTAAACAGAGTCTCCCCATCAAATGTTGTCATTGGTTGTGTAACATTAAACAGAGTCTCCCCATCAAATGTTGTCATTGGTTGTGTAACATTAAACAGAGTCTCCCCATCAAAAGTTGAGCAGCATGTCTGACTGTTGAATGAAGACAGAACTCTGGTGTAGGTTGATTGTTTTATTCATTAAATCTTCTGTAAACATACTGAGTTAATACATCAATTAGGCGGTTTACTGCAAGATATTACAACTGTTAAGAACAAAACAAATAAAATAGTCTTAGTTAATTGAGCTAAGTCATAAACATGTTCACGCAGATCTTGGATGGTTAGTCTATCGCTTGTTGGTCAGAATATTTCTCCATGAGAACCTCCAGCTGGACAGAAGGTGCAATGCTAGTGGATCATAAAGATTCAGTGAACATTCTGTCACAATATTGCAATGTTCTTGTTTACAAAAGAAGTCTTTTGAGAAATGGAGTATCAATGATATTTGCCAAACATGGATGGAAAACCATCCTGGTTACAATGAAACAAGCCGTAGATCTGACTTCATGACTTTCAAGAACAATTCAATAAACAAATAACATTTTCTACACTGTACAAGCAACAAGCCAATATGTACAAGTTCTACCCTACTCCCGGTAAACTGTCCTATTGTCTACCAGGCTCTCCCTCTACACTAGGCGTAGGCCAAAAAGATTTCCTTAGATCAGCGAGATCTCAATGAGGGGGGATCTAATATTCAACCAAACAATCTAAATTTGAAGAATTGTTCATTCGACCAACACACCCTGAATAGAGGGTGATATGACCATTATTACAACTAAGGGAGTTTGTGAGCCTAGAGATACTATTTGGGTCAAACTGATGGAATCTCAAGACCAAGGGAGAGTTCTTCCTCGGGACAGAATACTACTGGTTTGGAATCATATTGTTACACAGTTACATTCTAGGATGTCATTTTGCACAGAAACAATACGTTTTCTTGTTTTACAGATGTGCCCTAAATTTGTTAGAGTTTAAAGAAATGACATGTTTATTTAAGGTAACTACCATCAAATCAGACCTCACAATAATTTATAATGTGTTGTTTTAAGTTCAAGTCTCCTGTTAACTGACGCAGATAACTGTAAAACAAGAAAACTGGCCTTGCCTTAATGTGTATCATATGTCTTAACCCTTTCAGTGCTGGGGTTAAAATGTTCTATATCTTAGGGCTCTACTGCATAGGCGGATCCAGAAGTGGGGTCCAGGGGGTTCAGAACCCCCCACCCCCTTTTGAAAACCAAATGTGGTATGTTATAGGTAGTAAAACTGACAGATAGGATTTGATATTTTGGACCCTTCCCTTTTAAATATGCTGAATCCGCCTTTGTACTGTTTGACATCCTGAGCTTGCCCCAGGTTCTCACAGAGCTGGGTGGGTTCTAGCTGTGAGGGGAACAGGACCCTGGTGGGTGGGGGACTGACTCTGGTTATATGCCCTGTAGGTCCTCAAGGGACACTCGAAGCTATCCGAGAAACTATAAACAGAGAAACTGCCATACATGACCAACAGTGTCACAGGCGTCAGGACCATCTTGTCCTTGTCTTTCAGGTCAAGATGGCCGACACATCCACCCTCACGGTTACAGGGGAAGAACTGGAATTCCCTCGTTAATTTTGTAATATAGTAATGAATTAAGTTGCCCATTTAAACAATGAGTGCCGAATACAGGCAGCGGAGTTGTCTTCCCTGAGTTGTAAATGCTTGGTCGGGCAGAGCGAGATGGCAAATACCACTGTAGTCTGTTAAAGAACTCTATATTAATAGGACATACTATCATCCTAAATTCCAAATATTGTGAATAAAAACACAATCTCATACTGATAGCTTTATGATAAAAATGATACAGACTCGAAAAATCAATTTGCTTGAATAGCCTGTTATGCAATAATCAGTACAAGACATAAGCATGTAAGCAAGCTCCTTGCCCTGCCTTAGAGCACATGCAGTGCAGGGAGTTCTGACACAGGGCTAACACACGAAGAGCCCCACTCGGAAGTAGACAACCAGTACATGAATATCACATGTCAAAATCTGTCAACAAAACATGACCCTTGTAGAGTGCCCTACAAGACCATGTAGACATTGCTAATACACAAAGAAAAAGTAAGCTGAATTACTGTTCATATTTGCTTTTTAACAGACAAAAGATCTATGAATGTCATTTTATACAGTAATGTTCGTAGATCTTAGATTCAGCACTGATTAATATTGTCTCATGGTAGGAAGCTTTTTCATAACATTTTACACTAATATGGGTATCATACATTATTTTGTTACCATGGTTACTGCATGATATGTGTAAGATAACCATGATAACAGATGTGTTAGTACTACTGTGTCTGTGTATGCTGTAGACCTATACTACAAGATTGTTTAGGGTTATCTTCTGACTATAATGTATCAGTACTGACACTTTACAGGGCTAGACACTATTCCTGGGGAGACTTCCAAAACCAAACAAACAGCTTTGCATGTGTTACGACACTGAAAACAAGTCTAGATGAACAATTATAAAAAGATGGCAAAACTTCAACATAATCATGAAAGACCACTCGAAACAATTTCAGGCACGTCATTGATGATTGAAGTACGTCATTATGCTTGGTAAATGAATTTATTCACAAACTTCAAAAAGAGCCTAATGTGTCATCTGACTCACACAGAGCCTGATGAGGATGATGGGGTTTAGAAAAGATGCAACAAAAAGCACTGCTGAGGACAGTTGGCCTTCGGTCGGCGTCATGGAGTTCACCTGGACTATTTTCATATAGGGACAAATACTCAGCAAGAATGGTCACCAGACGCTGCCACTGTGAACAGAGGTTGTTGTACACAAAGTAGGATGGACACTCCATTCCTGATAATGGGATGAACATAAAATGAACACAAGTATATGTACAATCTCTCTGGCTGCAACGAACACAATAGACCCACTCTCGCTCGAACACTCGCACACACACACCCCATCCGCTCGCTGGCTGTAGCCATCTCCATCTATTCCTCGGACCAGTTCCACCATACAATCAAGTTTTACAAATAAATACCAATAAAATTTGCATCATTAATTTTGTTAACAAATAATTGTTACAAAATACATGTAGTAGGCCATCAATTGTTTCTACTAGACAACAAATAATTGAGTATTTCCATCACTCACAACAGCTACCTAATCCCAGTATCTTGTGGCAGACGACATTGTCCATGAGCAGACAACATTGTCCATGAGCAGACGACACTGTCCATGACCAGACGACATTGTCCATGAGCAGACGACATTGTCCATGAGCAGACGACATTGACCATGAGCAGATGACATTGTCCATGACCAGACGACATTGTCCATGAGCAGGCGACATTGTCCATGAGCAGATCACATTTAACATGAACTATAGTAGTCCCAACTGGTTGACAGCAGGCTCAAAACACTCCATGATCCTTCTCACTGCATAATGCCACAAATCCTGTATTCTGAAGATATCCAGTTGCTTGATCTTTACTTCTGCTGAATGACATCTGCTTTCTGAATGACGTTGGCTTTCTGCCTGCTGTTTGCTTTCACAATGATGCCTGCTTCTTAATGATGACTGTTTTCTGAATGATGTCTGCTTTTTTTAATGACGTCTGCTTTCTGAATAGCGTCTGCTTCTTTATGCTGTCTGCTTTTGGAATGACGTCTGCTTCTAAACATTGAACACATCTGCTTTCTGAATAATGTCTGCTGACTAACTGATGTATGTTTCTGATGTCTCAGGCCATTCCTGATGGCTTTCTCCATTGGTTAAAATCTGATTTTAAATGAGGTCTGCTGTTAGGTAAACATCTGTTGTAAGAATGACATCTGTTTGGCAACTATTCGATGCTAGGGTTGCCGTCTGCTGGGAGGATCGTGCCCTATGCTTGTAGATATGATGGAGGGAAGATGTAATGGTGACAGAAATATGAAGTGGCAAAAGATGCATGAATGCAGTAGTGTGTCTGTGTGTCTGAATATCTGTGGTACTGTGTTTAATCTTGGTGACAGTGATGTTGTGATGGCAGACAGGGAATCTTTCCCGCTGTCCGTCTCCGTGTCTCTGGTGGAATTCTGACTGATCATCTGGCTTGTCAAAGTATCCACATCCTGACAGTCATGCCCACCTACCTCGTGCCATGTCACTGAAACAGAGAAATGGAACCGTCAGAAGTGGCAAAAAAACAACAAAAATAACGTGCTAGTTTGATAAGTTTTATGGTTGATAGGTTTTATGAATTGATTATTATTACCTAACAATGCTTTAATACCAACAATAACATCCACAGCTGTCTGCAAAACTTAAAATTATGTATTCAGATTTCCCCAATGATTATTAATATTCAGCCTAAATGTGAAACTAATGTCATGGATAGAGCATTCCCTTTTTACAATCTTGTAGACAATCAACTCTCCATTGTGATAAAGGTTATCATTTTGACTCAGCCTACTTGTTTATCAATGTGCTTCATCTATCTATATGCTATATGTCTTTATGTCTATATGCCAAATGTCTTTATGTCTATGTGCCATATGTCTTTATGTCTATTTGCTATATGTCTTTATGTCTATATGCCATATGTACATGTATGTTTTCCACTGTTGACGAGCATTTAGTCGCTGAAATAAAAATATTTCAAGTTTTGGTTGACTTGTCTTTTAATACCGTATTTGACGTAATAAGCGCCCAGGGCGCTCTCAAAATTAGAAATAGGGGGCTCTTATTAAAATATTATTTTGGTGAAAAACAGAGTTGAAAGATAAATTTCGTGGTTTATGCTGACAGCCTGAAATGTTTATGTACGGCAGATATATTTTTCCAGAATTTAATTGCCCACACGAGTGCGTATTACACGCAAATGAATAGGTCCTGTGTACATTGATCAATCGGAAGGGGTGCTAATTGGGATTGTTCACGTGCAAATATATTAGCAAATATCGCCGTGGGCGCTTATTATGTCGAAAATACGGTATAAAGTGCTGGTCAAAAGATGGGTAAAAGCAGGTCTCATATTTGTGGGAGATGGTCAATTTATTGCAGGATTTTACAATTCCATTGTCATGTGATTTCATGTACACATGATGAGTGAGTGTGTCTGGCTTCAGGCGATTGTTTGTGCCCAGCCATGATATTGCTGGAATATTGCTAGAAGCTGAGTAGAACCATACTCCCTCACTCACGAAATACATGATGAAGTACACGTTGGTGTATATTTGTTTATTTTAGTTCTCGCAACCTTTCCTCAGGGTCAAAGTTTCTAAGGGGGTAATTATAGATTCAAAATGTAACTTGATGTATAAGCATTTAGAACTATATGAGTGCATGGATCAACTAATGACAAAATACTATGTATGACCAATACACTAACATAGTCAGAGAAATATTTTATTACACAATTGATTTCTCTTTAATTTCTTTTTAATGCTGATTTACAGCTTTCTAGAGTAATTTTTTTGATAATCTGGCCTGGTTTGATCCAATTAAATGAAGATATTCCAGTCAAGTTGCTACATGACAGTGAAGCAATTCTAGCCTAACTGTTACTTATCACTGTAAAGCACAACTTTTAATTAGAGGCATTATTCAATCAAAGCATGTTTGAAGTGTCCCCTGGGTCAGGCCAATCCCTATTGTCCCTGGCTTACCCCCAGGGCTTGGGGCTGGGGGAGGGTTACCCCCTAATGAAGTGTTGAGAGGGGATGTAAGGGGTCTGAGAGGGCCAATATTTGCAGAGTGTCTGATAAAGGGATCAGCCCTGCAGGCCAACAGGTGTCTGGTCAGCTCACAGGTCACTTGACCACAGCATGGACCTCACTGTTGGTGGAAAGTTACCATGGCTAGGGGCCATCTCAAACCCTCTCTGTCAATTTGTATCAAAACCAAGCTAGTAGAATAACATCTAGTCTCAGAAATGAACATATCTTATAGTTTTTAAATTATCTTGATATAAATATAATAAAGAGCTGCCTAGAGACTCTCTTCATTTTCAGATACTGCAGTAATCTAGACTTGCCCACTAGTATAGACTTGCAGAGGCTTAAAGGGAATATATGTATGTCAAGTTCTTTATTATGAGGAACACAACGTTTTGGAGTATATGCTTACTCCTTCATCATGTGAGTGAGTATATACTCCGAAAAGTTGTGTTCCTCATAATAAAGAACTTGACATACATATATTCTCTTCCTTACGTGAATCACTTCTAAATGCCTATCAAAGACCGTGCAGGGGCTTTATTGGATAAATTTGTCTGTCTTACAGACCCTGATACAAATATATATCAAATACAACCCATGCAAGTCTATAATGTTTGGCATACTAGATCACTGCAGTATATGAAAATGAAGAGAGTCACTGGGCTCCTTTTGATTATATTTTTATTAAGATAACTGAACAACTGTTTTTTTATGTACGATATGTTCATTTCAGAGACTAGATGTTAGTCTATGACAGACTATCAAACTAGCACCAAAAGGTTGAGGAGGATGGGTTCACATGGAAGTGATACAGGTATATGCTGTAAATTATAGGTGTTCTAGGGGATATACCGTATATTGCAGTTGATATCCTGCATGTGATACAGGGTTGCTGGCATATATATCTGATAAAAATATCCTGACACTTGCTAAAAGTGTATTGTAGCAATAACCGCACACCTTTACTGTTACAAATGCATTTGTGTTCATCTCATCAGTGGTACCCCACCCTACATACAGCTTGTCTGGGGGCACGGGTGGCCCAGTCGTCTAAGGCGCCGCGATTCGCTGTGCAGAGTTACGTCCCTTGGCCACGCCAGAAACCTATGATTGTGGGTTTGAATCCCGGTTCGCCCCGATTATGTTTCTAGGTTTGTCAGCACCATACCCGTGCTCGTGGGTTTCACTGAAGTGGTAATCGTCTGAGACCTGCATCACTTCGGGCTTTCCTCCCACATTCAGCTGACACGCCGCGATATAACTGGAATACTGTTAAAAGCGGCGTAAAACCCAACCCACTCACTCACTACAGCTTGTCTGTTTCCGATGCCTGCATGTTATGACATGACTGGTTTGTAAGAGGCAACTAACGGGATCGGGTGGTCTGGCATCAGTTGATGCATGTCATCGTATCCCAATGGCGTAGATCGATGCTCATGGTGTCAATAAATTGGATTGTCTGGTCCAGACTGGATTATTTACAGACCGCTGTCATATAGCTGGAATATTGCTGAGTGCAACAACCATCAAACAAAGCAAACTGACTGTATGAGCCCTTTCACCTCCCTCTGACTATTGAGATGGCCCCCCAAACAATGGTCAGTAGTGTATTGTGTTCAGCCAGCTGACCAGTGCCACATGGGTTTACACAGCATTAGGAGATAGAGGGTTTGTGGGGGGGGGGAGAGAGGAAATAACCGCAGACTCAGCAAATTCATACCAAGCTGGCTGTAGGCCCTCGAGCTGTACTCTGATTTCTGTCCACTTTGAATATCTATAAGCATATCTCATTGATAAATTCATTGATTTCATAATTGAGGTGTTGAAAGAAACTTTTAACACAAAATGGAAATTAGAATAAATGGAGGGTGGGGTTGTGGGGGTTTGGGAGACAATACTGCAGACTCAGCAGGTTTATTCACTGCTGGCTGTAGGCCCCCTGAGCTCTGATATCAACTTTGAATATCTATAATACGCATATCTGATTGATGTATTTATTGATGGTGTAACTGAGGCGTTGAAACAATCTTTGGACACCTGATGGAGATTAAAATACCAAATTAATTACCACCCCATCTTGTAAACATGTCAAGCTGGAGACATCACAACACAACTGCACAAGTTATTCAATATGTAGAAACGAACAGTTTGACTGTTTTCACAACTTGACATTTTGATTTAATGTCAGGGCAAACAATGTTACACAGTATTTCCTTATAACAAACAACCCAATAACTTTGCAGAAGCTGTTCATGGCCGCCATCACAACTGACATATGCTGTTTCTGTGATGTGTGACACACAATTGTAGTCCGCTCATTAACAACCTAATTAACACCAAGCCATTAATTACAATCACTGCCCTGACAGGCGGCCACAGGCAGTGTCAGCGAGGGGGACCCAGTCCCATATATTACCTCCCTCGTGTTGAGGAGTTGGCGGTTTGTGTGCACATTGAAAACAGATTAAATGGCAGGCAAACAAACACTACTTAATCTTCTCCATTGGGATGAGCCGGACAAATCTAGAACATTAAATAAATGTTAAACTGTAACAATGGACATTGAAAAATGAAGGGGAATTAATTGTGTTGCAATATAATTGTTGAAAAATGTTGATAAATAGGATTCAAAACCCAGAAATCTTCTTGACTTTTCACTGCTAATGAGTAACTTTTCTCCATAAGAATCATACTACTCAAATGTTGAAGAACATCCGACTGGGTGTTCCTTAACTTCTTTTGAGCAGTATAGGTCCGATTTGATAAACATGTACTCTGAATACAAAAGGATAATAAGATGTATCAAAGCTTTTCAACATCATTTTGTACCGGACCGTATCTTAGTGTGAACTGAATATGGAAATCTGGAGTCTTGACTCAGATGTGACTCAGAGTGGATATTTTTGTGTCCATTCTTATTTTTTATGAGTATAGAATGCAAGAAAAAACCTGTGATTAAACCTCTGATAGTCTCCTTTTGTTTATCCTTCCCTTTAATAAACACTGAACATGTTTTCAAAATTATTCTTTCATTCATTGGAAATTATGCCAATGTAATTGAAGTATCTGCACAGACATCGTTTCATTGGCAATACTGCCATTCTTGCAGGTCATTAGTCTAGATGATCCAGCTGCCAATATGGAAGAAAGAATACTGACATTTGTAGGCAGGTTACATTTCTTTAGATTCTTTGTTTTTCAAATTGAGCAAGTTGAAACATGACAAAATAACAAAAATTACCTGTTTGTTAATTTAACCTATTAAGGAGATCTGATTACATATCACACATTTTTAGCTGTTTAAATAACTATCCTGTTAAAGTGTTGTGTGTTTGTTGAATGGGGACATCTGTTGCATTTGTTGATTATTACCTATCATGACCCTCATCTGAACGTGCTGGCGGAATGTGGGGCCAGACATGCCGATATCACGCACACCTGGGACCAG